ATTTTTTTGAATTCCATTTTATGCCCCGTTTTTTTTTTGTTTGAACCTATTTAGATGATTTTTGCAAACAACAGTTCTACACAAACTTTTTGTTATTATTGTGAAATAGTCTATTAAATTAAATAGCGTTATTTTAAGTATATTTTGGTATTTTAAGTGTTTACAAGTTTACACCGGAAGAAGTAGCATAATCTGTTGCCTTACAGATTTACAGGATGATGGGCGCAGCATTCGTTATATCGCAAATGCTTTAGGAATTTCTTGAGGTACAGTGTTTCATGCAAAACAAAGATTTTGGAAAACAGGACAATACACCAGGAAGCCAGGTCAAGGTAGATGAAGCACTACAAGTCAAGTTAGTTTTACCATTATCAGCACTAGTACTTGTTCAACAATTAAAAATGATGTCCATAGAAACACAGTTTCCATTTATATCAAGATGTTTAATGAATATGGATGAAGGTCCAGAATACCTGTCACGAGACTTCTATTAACAGCAGATCATTGGAGACAACATTTACATCTTGTGGTGCTCTTCACAGATGAATCAAGATTTAACAGATAATCATCAGATGAGCTGTCTAGGATTTTGAGAAGAGCTGGTGAATGTTATCATCAATGGTGTTTTACTCCCAGAGTTCAATTTGATGAAGGTGGTATAATGGTGTGGACAGGCATTCCTCTAGAAACTCATACAGAACTTCTTAGTTGGGGAGGGCAATTTAAACGCTGAAAGGTATATTGAACAATGTTTGGAAGATCATGTAGTGTCATTTGCCACATTTGTTGGGAGAAAACTTTCGTCTGATGCAAGATAATGCCTGTCCACGCATGACAGGGTTAACACAGAATTACTTGGATGAAATTGAGATTCCTTTATTAGCATGGCTTTCAAGGAGTCGAGACTTAAATCCAATACTTGTATGCAATATTCTGGGATGACGTATTTGACATAGCCATGTTAAATTTCAAATCCTTAATTACTTAAGGCAGACTGTTCATGAAGAATGGGAGCAAATCACTCAGGAAGAATTTGTTGCCTTAATCCAAAGTATGTCTGATCGAATGGGAGACGTAATTAGGGCTTGCGGAGGTAATACACCCTACTAAATATCGTTTTTTATTAAAAAATGTTTAAAATTAGAAAAATTGAATTCTTGGAAATTTTCTAATGTTTTATCCTTTTTTGGTAATAATTGATTTGTAATAAATTTTACTTTTAAATTTTGTTTATTATTAAAAACTTAATTAGGATCATTTTAAACTTTTAAGGCCAGTCTTTAGAAAAAAACCTGGTTGTCCAGGTAATTTTGCACTCCATTGTATATGAAATTGGCAAAAATTGTGGATTTTCGGGAGTAAATTAAAAAGAGAATATCTAAGATGCTAAAAATGTGACAAAGCATAAAAGTTTCCTTAACTGTAGTCACCTGGGTTCACCCTAACAAATTATTTCTTCTTTTTCTATAAGCACATTTCTATTGGGCTCCTCCCAAAAGCAGTCTAAATAGTGCCAATTTTTCACAACTTGTCTATTATGTTTTGCAAATTTCCTCACTATTAATGTCTGCTAAAAGACTTTCTACTGTCTTATTTTGAAAATAAAATGAATGCACTTTAATTATTTTGTTTTGCCATATGGCTGGCCTATTTGCTAAGATTTTTTTTCTGGTGCTTAGAAACTATACTCCGAAACATAAAATAGGGTATTCATGTAGATGTCATAAGATCATCATATAATAAACAAATGAAGTATAGTGAAAAATGTAAACATAGTAACATCCCCACCACTAAAAAAAGAAGTGCATAATGTTTAAAGTATTTAATACAATCATCTACCCTCTAGTTTTATTTTTGTTATAACACATTCCTTCCTAGATCTTTGCATACTTTTATGATGAACAGTATCTTCATTTCTAAAAAGTAAATGTCCTAATATGATTTAAAATTGCCCTCATTGATTGACTGTACTGAACAGATTGACTGTATCAGTATTGAAGCAATAACAAATATTTGATTTACTTCACCATAAATGAGCATTTGGTCCTAATCTTTAAGATAAGACTACAGGTTTCTTACTACGAAATAGGAAGGGTAAAATCAAAAAACTCTTTGTGATACACCAAAGTAATATTTGATTGATTATCTCCAGTGCAATCTCATAACAAGCCAATATCTATTCTGGGTAAAGCATTTCCTTCCACAGGAAATACATACCCATTTCATTATGCAATAACTTTCATCAATATTTATTATTTAGATTATTATAGTAGATATAAAAGTAATTCTTTTTAATGAAGGAATGCTTATCAGCAGTGTTTTGAACTATGATTGGAATTTAAAAATAAAATAAGACAAAGACAAGCTTGTTCTTTTTAATCATGTAGTGAAAATGAAATGCAGTGCTATGTATGTTGAATAATTATATGTGTGATCTACTATTACTACTAAATATGTGAATCACAGACATGTTACAATCAGTTTTTTTTATTTTATTTTTGTTTCTGTTTATATTCTTGATCAAATAGAGTTTAAAATTAAATTATATTGGTGTGAATAATATAATATAAATAATGTCAAAATTGAATAAAACTTTAACTCAATCTTAAAAGAAGCAAATTGAATATAAATATTATAGTATGAAAGTATTTTACAAAAAAAGTATTGAGAGTATTAAAGTATATTGGTTTTCTGATAAAAATGATGTATTGTTCTATATAATTACCCAAGAAATGGCTTATTTTGTTTCAGGGTTATCAATTAAGTTAAGAATAACTTTTTGTCGTAAAAATTATAATGAATCCACTATATATACATAAATATTATAAACCTCCAAGATAGTCTAAGAATTATCTACTGTAATAAATATACACCGAAAATCTAATTGCAGTACCTGCTTTGATACATTTTCTACAATAATTTCAATTTTCATAGCTTGTTAGATTCACGAAAATTTTATATCATCAATTATTGTGATAAAAACGTTCTGAAACTGTTTCCTTGTGGCATGTCTAAGTTAAATATTATGTGGTTTCTACAAGATGGCGCTCCACCGAATTACAGTAATTATATCCTTTGCAGGCAGTATCCTGGTCAGTGGATTGGAAGGGGTAATGATGCACCTATTTCTTGGCCACTCAGAAGTCCAGGTCTTAACCCCATGGACTTTTGCTTTTGTGGGTTCATGAAAGAGAAAGTGTATTCTGTAACAATAGAGGACAAACACCAATTGAGGGTTAAAATAATTATTAAAGCTGCAAATCAATTTCGTCAGAAAAATATGATTTTTCAGCACATTCGGTTTTCCTTATTAAAATGATACCAAATGTGTATTGAAGAAAATGGGGTCATTTTGAACATATATTGTAATATCATATTTATAGAGGTTATAGACAATTTTTATACTTGTTAATTCATTTAAGCCATTTATTTAGTTGCACTTAATTTTTTAAAGGTTAATGAAATTTTTTAAAAAATAATGTGTTAAACTAATGATGCCACAAAATTGATTTGATTTGAACATACTCAAAAGTTTAGGGGATTTAGTTCTGCACACCTCCCTTAAAAATTTTCTGTGCACTTAGATTTTGTTGTTTCTTTTTTATGAAAAATGCTTTCAGAACAAGAAAGTAACATGTCCATTTTTATTACAAAATGTCAGGTAGTTTAGAAGATAATGTAAAAACACAATTTTTATTTTGTAAATTCAAAGGGCTGTAACTTTTTTTGTCGCCGGAATTTATTTTTGTCCCCGGAATGCATGATTTAATTTATGACACCTTTTTGAAACATCCTGTATATATTGGCATGTCCTTTGCTTAAGTAATTTGCACTGCACATGTTTGGTCCAAACCATTTCTCACAGAACAAGCAGTCCCTATTTTATACAACTCAATTTGCTCCCTAATAAATATACCACTAAAGAATATAAAGGCATATGCGTCTATATTCTTTGATACCACATTATCAGTTATAGATATTGAAAAATGTTTAAGGTTTGATATATTTTAACTTGGATATCTAAGTATTTTATGGCCTACAATACATTTTTCATAGTAGTTCCCACAATATGTATGATCATTCATACAACTTTAGTATTACAACTTATACATACATATTTTTGTTAAAAGGTACTATGGTTTTATATTTATTATATTTTGTTGTTGTCTTATTTTAATAATTATAAACCTATCAAAGTTAATAATTCATTCCCTAGTTATCAAATCTAAACGAAAATATATTAATTTAGTCCATAACTGCTAAAATCTCTACTTGCAAATCAGTTGGTATTTTCCATTTCCGTAATATGATAAACAATGATGTCAGAATATTGCAAATTAGCAATATTTTAAGTTATAAACATAACAGAATTTATCCAATTGCATATTGCATACGTTCACAACCGGCGAGAAGAATGTTTGAGTCAAAAATCCTAGTGATTCACATATCACAGAAAGCCAAAAATAATGCACAAAACGAACAAACTATTATCCTATAATCAATAGAAAATTCAGGATTCTAAACTTCATTCAGTTTAGGCTAAAAATAGTTCAATAGATCATAAACACTACAAAGGATTCTCCTAAATTTAACCACTTTTATAAACAGAAATTATAGTAAGTTTATTTACATTTGTATTTATTGTGTGTGTTAATTAAAACAGACACGTGAATACATGTTACTCTATTATCTAACACAATTAAAATTTAGGCGCCATTTTTGTGAAGAAGTAAATAACTGAGTCTTCCTGGAAAGGTCCTAAATACCTGTTTCTAAGAAATAGGTATATGGAATATAGATAAAGCATACAATATTAATCAAAAGAAATTAATCAAAGTGCTGTCAATTATTTAAAATATGCTATTTATATGCTAAAAATCAGATATGCTTTGATGAACCCTTCTGGACTGCACATTCCCATTGCTTTCGACCCCCACTGGTACATTGAAACAAAACACACACTGACTGGATAAATATAAATCATATGTAAAAGTACTTACATGTGATCGTTTGTGTTAAGGTAATATTCTGCCATATCCTTGTAGGACCCCTAGGGGGCCAAAACACCCACGAAAAACACACGCCGTGTTTCTAGCTTGTTTTAAAAAAAGTCTCGTTTATATTATTCTCTCTAGAGCGACTACACAACTCTCCTCACGACCGACTGACAATTGACAACCGCCTTTTGCGTCCCTCCGAAAGGACAAGGACTGTTCTCAACTCGCTGTGGTATGTGACCATGCGCAGAAAATTTTATCTGTATATCTGGCAGTGGCGTAGATGAATTATTAGTCAACCAAAGAGCAGAGTATATACCACAAAGGCTGTGTACTCTGACCAAATAGGTATAAGCCCTAGAAGAATAAAGTTTTCATCTAAAATGATTCAGATCTTTAATCAAACATAGAAACTTTCGAAGGAAAATCAGAAGAACCAAAGTTATCAAACGAAGACTCGGCAAGACTCTGAATGAACTGAAAAAATAATACCAAGGAGCACATTATATAGGAACATAATAAGAAGGGGGAAACCAATTTGTTAAAACCATAACAGACTTAGCCATTATTAAAAGATCGAGGGCAAATCGAAGATTACGTAAGAACGATGAAGATGAGAAGCATTGGAAAAAAGTATAATAAAGAATAGAATTCTTCTTCTTAGGGTACTTGTCCGTTCCGAACGTAGGCGATCATTCTGGCTATGATGACTTTGTTGGTTGCTATACGGAATAGTTGTGTTGAGGTCTTTCTATACAATGCTTTCAGGTTAGCAAGTCAGGATATTCTTCCTTGTCCTGGGGCCCTTTTTCCTTCAATTTTATCTTGCAAAACGCATTGGAGTAGCTCTTATCTCGATGTTGATCTAATCCGCGGTTGTGTTCATCCTCCTTAGTACTTCTTCATTGGTGACTTTGTCTGTCCATGGTAATATCAGTGATGAAATTATGCATCCCCGTCCCCAGCCTCACTCCCCTTATGATTTTGACCCGATATGTATATTCTCCATTTATTCAGAGCACGCTAATTGATTCCAATACAGGTTAGCTATTATTTTTACTTCTCTTCCATCAATCCATATCCTCTTCAGCACTTCCATCATTTGTTCATGCCTGAGTCTATCCAAAGGCTTCTTGTAATCAATCAGGCATGCAAAAACATCACAGCTGACATCTCTATATTTCTGAAAGAATACTTGCATGCCACATAAAGCTTCCCTCGTACCAACGGCGTTCACAAATCCTAACTGATTGAATGCAATTTGTTCCCCGCATTTCCGGTAAATTCTTTTGTGGATGACTTTAAAAACAACATGAGCAGATGGCTCATTAGGCTTATGATTCTATAGTCTTCACAAACTTTTGCTCCTGGTTTTTTGAGCAGTGGTACGAACTCCGATTTGAGCCATTCTACTGGTATTTTTCCTGCCTTGTATATTTCATTAAATATTTCAGTTATTATTTTTATTTGTTCTGCATCTAATAGCTTTAGCAGTTCTGCAGTAATTTCATCAAGTTCCAGTGCCTTTCCATCCTTCATTTGTCTGACGGCTGTTGATTTTTCTTCTGGTAGGATTTAGGGACCTAAATTTTCTTCAATGGTGGGTTCTTGTATTGTTCTAAGGTCGTGGAAAACTTTATTGTTCACCTTTCGATGTACATTGAAGTTATCATATCGACCCTGATACTTCTCTATTTCTTGACTTTGTTGTTTTTTGTTTCTCTTTGGCTTCTCTTATCTTATAAAGAATAGAATGGAGAAAATAATCGAAAATAGAGACAAACTTATAATGGGCTGGTGTTCTACATAAAAGGCATTTTAAGTGAAAAGAGCTACAGATTTTGCAAAAACCTAGAGCTTTTATTAATTAATTGGATATGGTAATACTATCGAATAATTAGTGGTTCTTTTCACTTCGATTTATTTTGTAACATGAATTATCTCATAGGTTCCATATCGATAGCATAAAAGATAAATGTGGTAAGTGCGTTAAAATAAATTTTTCAGTAAAGCAATCTCAAAGTTTAGGCGTCTAGTTTTGAAAGCCGTTATAGTTATAACTTTTATATTGCTATTAGGGTATATACTAGTTCCTTGACTACTATTAGATTACCAATATTAAACAAATACAGAACATTTTGAATGTTTAATACACAATTAATTACCTACAGGGTATACACTTACCACTCCTGTGGACAATTTTATGGTACATACTACATCTGGCTGCTTATAGAACTATTTAAAAAGAAAAATAAATGACAAAAGGTAAAACCAAATTGAAGTGGACAAGTATTAATTAAAAGAAATTAAAAAATATATTATTTATTCATCCTTGGAATCCACTTCTCCTAAAAAATGGTTATTTGAAGACAGAGAATGAAAACAATTTTCGGAGAGTAATATTGGGGAAATCCGATGTATTTAAAAATATTAAATAGAGTATTGTAAACATTGTAATGTTACAATTAAGACTGAACGTTTTCAACTGATAATAGCCTTATCAAAAAATGTGTCATCTATACCATCGATATGTAAGCAGAAAGCTGCTCTTCAAGCAGGCTGGTGATCACTCTGCTCTTCGTCTTCGACCATACAGACTTAATAAAAAATTGTTTAACGGCTGCTTTTCAAATGTAATGTAAAGTTCATAATTCTTTATTCTTAGCATCGTAAGATATGCAACAGCCCAAAAGAATTTTAAAGATGCTGCTAACATCACAAAGACTAAATTTTTCATTCCTTTTGCCTAGGATGCTATAGTAAAAATTAAAAATTCGCCATTTGTGAATCAGCTCCTCTCATTAGGTCTCTACTATACTATTATACCTACATTTGTTTTATATTGTAGATTGTCGATAAAGGTTCGTTTTATCCTTGTATATATTTCCACACTGCCACCGGAACTTACGACTTTTTTTCTCCTTTAGAAGCCGTTTATTGTACCCCTGTGTATAAGTAACCAATTAACCATTAGACAAATCCTCGGAACTTTTTCAGATCTGCTGTATATAAACACTAACATTCGATGGACCTTTCTTTTATTTTGACCCGGTATCCACAACGCACTTGTATCCGGGTGACGTATAATCTTCTCAAAGCAACAGTAAGTTGTCCCAAGGCTACCTTAGACCAGAATCACGGTTCTAATGTTTCTCTTCGTATATTTGTTTGTAGATTCAGAAGAATCACTCATGCCTGGATCCTATTTTAAACTATATCTTTTCTTTTGTTTTCTTAGATATTTTACTAATTGAGACAAATTCTGTTAGGCACGGCAGTTCGCCAATACCATGGCAAGATTATAAGTTTCTCTTTTCAATCTTTATCCCCTGGAGGGAGTATAGTGGTCGTCGTCATATCGTTTATGGTCCGTGTCCATATATTTCTGTCTCTGGTCATTTCTATAACTTTATGCAAAGGTCTTTGGAACTTCCTGTGATCTGGCAATCCATCTCGTTGAAGATCTTCCTCGTGGACTTCGGCTTTCCAGCTGCCTTTAAGTTATGAGTTTCTCCATATTACTTACGCAATACTTTTCCCCTGTGCAAAGCATCCACTGAACACAATACACTGTGCCTCTATGATAGGTTTTAGCACCTGTTGTGAAGCCTTTTTTGGAATGAGGTCTTCTTTAACAGATACTTTTTTTAATTAACAATTTTCCCGATGATCCACTCATGTTTGCTAGCAGTACCTTTTGCTCTATATCTTCATAAATACAGACTGTAACGAGATCCAGTGCTATAGTTTATGGACACCTGAGTCTGCGTTGTTCCTCTTCCATGTTTAATTTGTCTGTTTGTTCCTGGTTTATTATTGTTCTACAAGAAGCTAAGAAACGAATGGTTGCTCCCGGCTGAGCCCCCACGAAGGAAAAAAGGTAATGAAACCTAGATGTTCTCTGACACTCAGAGTTGAGCTGTACTTAGCTTCCAGTAGGCGGAACCACGACTGAACATGAGGTTCCTCTCTATCACGACAAGATCTTACTGCTTCAAAAAGGAATCAATAACCATAATTTCTCATACTTCTTCGTTGGTAAACCATCTTATTTTCTCCTGAATCACTTAATGTGTTATAAGCAACTCTATTATAGAAATTTGATAATATAAAATGTTACGAAATCTGATATACCTACTTAAAAACCATATCTTTTAAGTAAATATTTAGTAAATGACAAAATATATGAATTATATAAAATATCTCGGTAAATGTTCTCAAAAAAAAAAAAGAAAAAGAATACAGAATGTGTTGAAACTCTCTAAAACAACTATAATGAATGACTTAATTACTTAAAAGTCGTGAAAACAATAATCCATAATGGACCTAGCATCTCATACCTACTCAGAAATGGAGTATTTGGGAGACATCGAAAAAATCGTAAGTGAGATAGGCCATGGAATCACATAAATATACTGGTCGTTATCAGCCTAGTCTCCATGTAGAATTATAGTTTAATATTGGCAATATAAAGTTTGATTAAGCCGATATTTTAACACATATCTTTGGGTAAATTAAGTAGAAATATTCAACACATTATTTTATTACCGAATATTACTTCTATATAGAATTAAAAGCAAAATGCTAGTCAAAAAATAGTGTGAATGGCTATTTTTGCTAAATAATGTGTCAATTAAAAATACAATTTAATGACTATCTTATTTCTTCTGTAGCAAATTTGTTCGTTTTTTTGTAAATGACTTTAAATGACCTTATCATATTTAAGAAATAAGATAATCAGTTATTTACAGGCTAAGTTATTGAATGTTGAATTTTTTGTGGGAATGAGTAACCACCCAAAAGAAGGAATGATTATTCAGAGGCCTGATTTAATTATAGGTAGGTATATAGATTTCCTTTGCATAATCATTTCACTTAGAGGAATTAGAGGAATTTCACTACGCAGAGGTAATATAGAAATAGATATACATTTAAATAACAAAAAATTTCAGAATAATAACTCATCTCAGATTTATATCTCAGAATTATAACAACTACAAAAACCCAACAACAAGTCACAATAAATATAAGAGGAGTGTCTAAAAGTAAGATTACTAAGCTCTTCTGTATTTTCCATGCTTCTCATGGATTTAAGAACTTAATTTAAAAGAAGGAAATTCAGGATATTTTTAAGATATTAATTTTTAATATCTAATAAAGATTATATACAAAGACAACCAGAACCAGTAAGATAGCCAATATCTAGACTATGAAAAGTACTTTTACTGCTAAAATGAACTTAGATTTCATTGTCCAGATCCCATTTTAATTCTACTCCCATGGATATTGGTGTTTTGTTACAGAGTTGTCAATTGTAAGGAAAACAATGTAAAGTTAAGAATTTTTAATCAATAACAACAGATGTTCATTTACATTCTGTGTGATAAAATATTTTTTCTTTAAAACAGATATTACAAATGCTTGTTATTATTTATATATTGTAAACTATAAGAAAAATAAGATTTGGTTCTTTGGTATTACTACTCGTTTGATTCTACCAATTTTTTAAAACATTTACATTTTCTATAACGGCAACTCTGCCGAAATTATGAATTGTGACAATGACACTGAACAAAGATATCCAACTGTATTTGTAGACTTAACAATAGGGGAAAAATTACAGATAAATAAAACAAATACGACTCTTGGATTAAATTAATATACCATCAAATTATTGTAAGTGAGTGTTAAGGATTCTTAAAACGCGTCAGAAGAAGTTTCTTAGAAAGAAAGAAAGGAGATTCTTCAAAAGCGTTTGTCGATTTTTCATTGTCGGAGACAAATATAATTTAATTGGGGCTTCAAGTAACATCAAGTTTTAATTTATTTGGAAGAAATATAAATAATAATACGAACTAAAATAACTTTGATTTATACTTTTTGCTTATGATGACTAGAGATTTGATTGTTTTTAATAAAAAAATAATAAATAACATTTATATTAGAGATTATTCCTTTTGTAATTTAATTCAACGTCGCCCATGAATGTGCGTAAGATTGTATTGACATTGGAGATTATTTTTTCCTGCATTGGCTCTACTGTGATCATGTTTATTGCTAACTTCAGTGGTAGGTGTAACTACACTTTGTATTAGGTAAATTTGAGTATCGTATTTGCACAATTTATATTTTAGTTGGTAGAAAAAGAGTTCGTAACAAAAATGTCTAAAATTAACGATAGAGATCGAGTTCCTAATTACCAAACTTACAAATTGGTAATAGTTGGTGGAGGTGGTGTAGGAAAATCAGCTATAACTCTACAATTCATTCAGGTATTTAAAAAAATATGTTTAATTTACATTATTTTAGGAGTATAACACTATTTTTAAACCGAATAAAATTTGAAATCTATTTATTTTTATCAAAAAATCGAAAATGTGTTACATCTCCTTATTTATATGGACGAATTTAGTTCATAACCTTGTAAGATTGCCTACACTCAAAAATATTATTTTTCTTTTTTAGAGTTACTTTGCAGCTGACTATGATCCTACCATTGAAGACTCTTATACCAAACAATGTGTCATTGACGATATTCCAGCTAAATTAGACAGTAAGTAAGATTCATTTCATCATCAAACATGTGTACTGTCAGGCATATAAAAATATATTTAATATAAACCTCACCACCTGAAGTCCAGCATGTTGTTTCATAAATATAAACATTAACTATATTTCATAACTAATGAGTCATTGTTCTGGTATTTGAACTATTGCAAATTTGATATTATCAACTGTTTATGGTAAAATATTTGTTGTCAAAGTGATAAGAAACTATAGTAAATTTATTGTTCATTTGTTGTCGAATATGTAAAGAATATTAGAATCTCAACAATAGTACTGGCTTTTATATTGATAGTTACATCTAAACTGAATAATATTCATGCAGTGAAGAGTGTTTTTATCTCCATATATGATTTGTTAAATTTACCACTGCTTTATAATAGTTGTTATTTATTAATAATGTATTGGATCTGCCCAAGAAGTTGTAAAAAGTAATAAAAACAGTTACAAATAATTTTCATTTAGAATAAATGCAATCGAAATAATTTAAAATTCTAAAATTTAATGTAGATTAACATTAAGAAACTGGTTTTATTTTAGCATTTAGATGCGATAATAATAATTACTATGTACTTTAAACCGAAATAATATAATTCCTCTGCAATTTTTTTGTGGGCAGTTTATTTATTTATTACAATTATGACCAAAGGAATAACTGGAATCTTAAGGAATAACTGCCAATCCAACCCGAACATCACCAAACATAATTAACTATTAAAAGAAATTATGAAATTAAAATTTAAATACAAATTTGAATTCATTCATTTTCCTTTTTCTAGTTTGGTAAGGTTGATTTGCTTACATAGACAATACCTAACACTTGTATCATCAGGATTGGCAGCACTGTGTGATATCTTTAAAGGATAAAATATGTGTCCAGTCCATTTCCATTTCAGCTAAACTGAAATAGAATTGGGCTGAACATAACGAACCACTTACTGATGGCTGATGGAATAAAGAAATTGGGAATTGGTGGCCATATGAAGCCAAAAGACCACAAGGAAGACCGCAAATGCGATGGAGCAATGATATTAAAAGAACTGGCACTGCAGGGGCCAATGTGGAAACATCTTACAATAGAGATGAATAGCAAGAATTAGGAGAGGACTATATTCAGCAATCGGAATAAAGAAAAGCACTTAAAAAAAAACTCCATTTACAAACATATCTTGCTATCAATTTGTTAATGATTGTTATTGCTTTTAAAATAAACTTTTATGAGTAATGTTTTGTTACAGTATTGGATACTGCTGGCCAAGAGGAATTTAGTGCTATGAGAGAACAATATATGAGATCTGGGGAAGGATTCTTGCTTGTATTTTCAGTAACTGAAAGATCTAGTTTTGAAGAAATATATAAATTCCATAGGCAAATACTTCGAGTGAAAGACAGGGATGAGTTTCCCATGCTTATGGTGGGAAATAAGGTAAGTACTTATTAAATTATTCTATACTATTCCACAAATGGAGGTAAATAATTTGAGACAGATGTAAGAAGATAGAAGAGGCAAATGTAGAGACATTAGAGCCATTAAAGTGTTTTTGTCTATAGATCAATCTTCACCTTGATTTTGTAATTTCAGAGCAAACAGTGATGTTCTCAAAATATCAAACAAGTAGGTCACTGTGTATTCAGTCCTAACTTATCTGTAAATATTTTTATTCTTCCAACCATTAATAAGTTGTTTATTAGCATTTCTGCACCCTTGAAGAAATAGTTGATGTATTTAAATCACAAGTCAAGGTTCAAAGTTGAAAAAGTTTTTTAAACTTTACTAGTTCAAATGTGTTCAAAATTGTATTGGTCCTCATAGAGAGTATTTTTAAAAGCAATAAACCCATTTTTGATGATAAATACTTATCATTTGTTTATCTCAAAACTCAATCACCAATCTCTTATATAGGGTTGTGAAAACATCTGACAACATGGTACTATTTTTGAAATAAATAAACTTAGAATGAAATTGTGGGATACAAAATGACGTTGGTTATACATATTCTAGAGGGTCATATAGTTATAATGATATATCACAGAAAACTTTATTTCTTCCACTCAAAAATGCTAATTACATGACATAATATTATGGTACAAAGGTGTTATGACCAGGTGTTAGAGATTAAAGGTGTAATTTTAAATAAATATTATTTTACAGCACATAAAACTGAACAATATAAATAAATTGTGATTTCTTTATTACAATAAATGCTCCTACATTTCTGTGTTGGCAATGATACAATCTATCATAATATCATAGGGATCACAATGATGTATCACCACAAAGGACTAATATATATTATATTGGCACATAATATAGCACATATTGTGTTATATAATACGGAACAGAATATTAAAAATCCGGGAAATAAATCTATTGATGTTTTCTAATTTTGTAAAGCTCTGTCAAGAAAATAATAAATAAATAGGATGTGATGGTACTTGCAAAATATAATGCATGATAAGACATGTGCTATATAAGAGGCATAGAAGAGGAGTATTGTTGATGATGATGGTATAAGACATGAAATGAAACTTGTAGAGGAATCGAAAACTTCTTCTGACATAGCTCTGAAAAAATAGCTCATATAAAGAAAAGGGGAAGCTCAGAGAGTCAAGGGATGAGGTGACGCAATTTCTAAATTTTACTAGAAGAAACCTAAAAGACAATCTGCTCAGTTTATGGGAAGAAATGAAGGCAATTTGCTTAAAAAAAATTTTGGTGTAACTTTCCTGGAACTGTACTGGAAAATAAATTGAGAACATTTTATATCAAAGCTAAAAAAGCCTGATTTGCTAAACAATACAACAAAATTGCTTTAATTTAAATTAAGCAAGAAATAAATAAAAGTCATTAAGGAAAAACATTAATTGAAATATTTGTAATTACAATAAGATATATTAAAAAAAACTTCTATTACAATTTTTAATGACTTTCTGAATACTAAAACAATGAAACAAAAGAGGAATCTAATGACCTGTAGTGAATTAAGTGTGAACCAGCATGTTTTAACTTCAATAATACAAACAATTTACATATCTGTGAATCTGATGCAATTTGATGATTTTAGATGTATATTTTTACAAATTGTGTTCTTTTGGATTTCAAATTTGACACCATTTTTGAATTTATGCATTTACATTAAATATATTCTCAATCATACAGGCAGACCTAGTCGAATGATATGTATATGCCCTTACTCTCGATGATCAGGGCTGCCTAGGACAATAGAACAGTGCTAAACAAAAAAACAAAAATTTGTAAAACTCTCGTAAATCACATATCACTGGCACAGTTCATACCTTGTGAGAAACCACATGAGCATCTGGAAAAACTAACAAATAAAAAAAATCAATTTGTTACCTCCTAGATACAAAAATGAGCTTACAACAATCTAAACAATCAGCCTTGGGACAAAGAAATGTCAAACACCCTCCTAAATAACAATTAAATAAGTCTGTAGTGAAGATTTATAGCATACATTAAATGGGTTTCATGTTTAAAACTCATGGAATATATCTCTACTGCCATCAGCCTCAATGTGTTAAGCATCTTTTTAACACCAGGTTCAGGTTCATGTACAGGTAATGTGGACAAAAACTTTACCCAGTTTCTAAAACTGAAGTTGCATACAATTGGCAAGAATATCATTTTACCAGCATCTAGTGTATCGTGAAAATTATTTTGAGTAAGTAGGATAAACTAAAAAGGATGCCATTATCTGAAATACTACCAGACTCATAATAATTGCCAATATGACTGCTGACATTCAAGAAAAAATAGCTGATAAGTTAAAGAATAGCCCATAATTTGCTTTGCAGTTTGATCAGTCTACTGATTTTAGAGTTTGTCTGCAATTTTGAAAGCCGAAAGAAAATGCAAAAAAGTATTTTTGAAGTGTGTATATTTTAGGCAATTCCTAGCTGAGCGCTTTCGGCTTTACAAAGCCATCATCAGAGCTATGGTCAATTTTTAAATACCACTACAAAGGAGAGATCTCATTTCCTTAAGTTTCACAATTATGATATTTGTAGGAGTTGGAATTTTTAAAACATATAAAAAACATATAAAAGGTCGACACTGGACGTCACAAACACGTTAAAAAATTGAAAAATTTTTTTGTCATGGTACGGGTTTAAGACCCGACCATCTATTGATGTGAGGATGTAGACTGAATAGTCTACATCCTCACATCCTATTCAGTCTACATCCTCACATCAATAGATGGTCGGGTCTTAAACCCGTACCATGACAAAAAAATTTTTCAATTTTTTAACGTGTTTGTGACGTCCAGTGTCGACCTTTTATATGTTTTTTATATGTTTTAAAAATTCCAACTCCTACAAATATCATAATTGTGAAACTTAAGGAAATGAGATCTCTCCTTTGTAGTGGTATTTAAAAATTGACCATAGCTCTGATGATGGCTTTGTAAAGCCGAAAGCGCTCAGCTAGGAATTGCCTAAAATATACACACTTCAAAAATACTTTTTTGCATTTTCTTTCGACTTGTCATAAGTGTGTACAAAAAATATCAGTCTTTTGATTTTTAATTTTGAAAGCATCAAAGAAAACAATTTATTTTACAAACCTTTGTTGTAAACACTACTGCTCAGTGTAGTTTTAAATTATACCTCATATTTGCGTTTTTTGCCGTTCCTCTGGATATTGTCTTTTTGTTGTCTTCCCATGCATATGAATTTCCATAGTACTATGTGGTTACTTGTACATTCTGCTTGTCTGTATACCTATATCTGATCTTTCCAACGACCTAAATAGTTTAAGTGGAAAGCCTTTTAAAGGAAAAAAGAAAATATCCTAACAGCAAAGGATAAGATAAGATATTTCTCCTAAAATTTTTTTCCGTGTGTTGAGAAGATTGTCGAAGAAATTGAAGGAGACCAATCATTGATACCAGGTTCTCCCATTCCTTGTATGGTTGAAAGCTTGCAAAATTTGGAAGAATCACTATTTGATTATTTTTCCAGAATTAAACTCTAGCTAATAACAGGCATAAGACAGTGTATACTAGATTCTTTTTAGATAAGTTGGTAGAACTGGATAATCTGCCAATGTAGAAAAAAGAAAATTTTACAGATTTGGCTGCTGGCAGCATGGAGAGAAAAATTCTTTTTAACAGTTAAAGTAAAAACCATTTGCGTGTCAAACATAGTACCGAGATTAGAAAATATAGTAAAGAATAAACAGGAATAGTTTTTCTATTGAATTGTTTGTAGAAGAAGCAAACCTTACTTTTTTACTTTAATTGGGAATCTCGACTTGTAGATTGAAAAAAACCAGACGGAACTATAACCATGTTTCAAGATTCTACATTCTTTGTATTCTCGTTACCTGTAGCTTTGGTTACTTTTGATGTATTTTATAAAATTTAATAGGGTTCTCCCTTCGACCAAGACGAATCTATATACTAGGTCTCGAGACTGTAGGACTTTTCCTTTAAGAGTTATCGCATAGACAACACGATTTCAAGAAGGACCTGAAGGGCAATTAAATAATGTAATTACGATTTAAAATAAAGAAAGCCCCAGAAACTTATCAACTAAGAAGAGAACATTGCAGTTTTTTTAATATTAAGTAATTATCAATGTTTGATAAGACCAAGAAGATATAATATCAACTAAAATAATTCTATATCCCCATAAGGATTTTAATTTATGACAATCTACACGATTATATCGAAGTCATGTAATACATTACATTAATGCATCCGACTGTGACGCTAATAACATCGCATATCAATTAGACTTTATCTAACATATGTTATTAAATTATGTGACGATCAATACACTCGATACGGCAATGTATAATTTTTTAAATATCGCATCATAGACGAGAAATTTATGAAACATATTAACAAAGAATATTTTTGTAAATATCTTTTCTAAAAAGTTATATTCGAAAAATTGTGTTCGTCATTCAAATTAGCTTCATCTTTTCAATGGGCATTTTACACTTTACTCATGAAAGAAGACACGAAGCAAAAGATGTCACATTAATTAAGAATGTCGGGAATTAAAGGTTAAAAATACGGAAAGTTGAGAGGAAGGAATAAAATTGTCCTGACAAATTGTAAAACAAATTGTAAACTGGAATTATAAACTCTAATTAAACAAACTGAAGACATTCTCAAAAACAAACCAACAAACGAAAAACACTATGGATGGCTGATGACATATTATAAATGATCAATTTGAGAAGAAAACACAAGAATAAAGATAACAATAACTATAAAGAAATTCACAAACAAATAAGAAGAAAGATAGTGGAGGCAAAACAGAAGTGACTTACAGAAGCACGTGAAGAGATAGAAGACTTAGGTTAAACACAGACAGGGCGGCGTGCGCCGCGTCGGTGGCCACGACGGCGTTGAAAGCGGTCTCTCGTCTGGGTTTTATTACTTCTGACGGCAC